TTCCTAAGGTGGGTATCTGAACGGCACGCCCACTAGCAGTGCTAACAGCCTTACTAGTGGATGGGCGTGTGTCTAGTTCCTCTTCCTCAGGAATAGTCACTGTTGGGCAACTGTCCGTATGGGATGTTGCCGGGGCCGAGGATGACTGGGTGGTTTTGTCATCCTGAACCACCTTTGGAGCTTTATCCATGGGTGGAGAAAGAGCGGGGGTGGTACCCTTCAGCATCAGTCTCAAGTGTCCGAACCGGTATGCAATCCTATCTTTTAGTTCGGACAACGACCTCATGGATTCGTCATCAATGACGAAAACAAGGTGCAGCATCTGATCCTGCGTCAGTCTGCGAATCACCTTCCACCGTTTGGTGGAGAATTTGTTTTGGGTAGCCAAAACTTTTTCGTTTGACAAAGTCAAACTTTGAGGAAAATAGCCACGAACTACTTGCGTCCGCCCGATTACAATTAGCCAGCATCCATAGTTGAGACAAGACCATACTATGGACCTGTTCCTAGCCGCCCCCGCGTAGAGGATGTAATCACACTACCGACAGTATACAACAGTTACGGCACATACACAAAGTACGTGTTTATCCCCCTGTGTATCTGCCGGCTGACGACCAAAAAAAAAAAATATCTGATATTTTTTAAAATAAATTTTCTAAAACAAATTTAATATAGTGTAATTGTGTTTCTTTTTAATTTCATCTATTTATATTATATGCGTAAAATATGATCTTAATTGAGCTAATTTTTCTTAGTACAAAAGGTGATTAATCGTTTTTATTTTATTTATTAATTAACTTTAGAATCCGCATTTAGTCGACTATTAAGTCGTATTTTAAAAATAATTTAAATAAAAGTAACGAACTTAGGAATGCGTTGCGGGAAAAATTTAAAACTAAATTTACAACATAGTTGTATGTATAATAAGTTCAATATGTCAATCTTTATAGCTAAACGTAAGTTTATAATTTTATAAAAGAAAAATAACAGATTAACAGAATTTGTTGAGAAAAACATGTTTCTGTTGTCGGGCGTGTAAAGCGTTTTAAGCGATCTATAATAAATCTAATGAGTACATAGGCAATAGAATCACTGCTGTTGGATTTTTGGTTTTATTTGTTGTTTTTTTTTTCTCTCTGTGGAATACCTTAATCTTTGGGAAGTTGTTTTATTGATTGGTCTATTAACATTGGGTATTTTGTTTTATTGTTCCTTTTCTGTTGAATCCTTTATTCACTGGGAAGTCGTTTTTTTTTATTTTTTTTCGACTTGAAGTCGATTGGAATCTAATGATGTCGTTTATAGTTTCTAGTAAACTATTTATAGCTGGTTACCGGAACCAAGTTTCGTAAAAATAGCTATTATCAACATTATCTGAGTTTAACTCAAGTATAACATTGTTCGAAGATAAAGTCTTACATTTTTATATAACATTGTTCGAGGATAAATTCGTATATTTTTATTAAATTTCCTTACTGACAAGTTTCTCTCAAAGCAGTACATCTGCTGTACTAATATCAATTATATTTTCTAGATTTTCAATATGTGTAATATAACCAGCTATTGTTGAATTTTCCATCAACACGGTTATATATCGCAATTGTTTTTAGTTTAGAATCATATACAGCTTGGGTATTTTGTTTTATTGTTTTTATTTTCCTTTCTGTTGAATCCTTTATTTCCTGGGAAGTCGTTTTTTTTATCTCATTTATCCACTAGAAGTCATGAATAATGATGTTGTTTTAATTTCTAATTAAATATTTATTGCTGTTTTTACTGGAATCAAGTTTCGTAAAAATAGCTCTTGTCATCACATTATCTGATTTTAATCCAAATATAACATTGTTTGGAGGTAAATTTTATATTTAATTAAATCCCCTCGTTTTTCTGAAAATAGTACATCTGTTGTACCAAAATAAATAATATAAAAACTTATATTGTCTAGATGTTCAATATATGTAGTATAACCAGCTATTGTTGAACTTTTCATCAACATAGCTATATGTTGATGTGGGCGTTTCCCCACAAGCGATGATGTTTTTCCTTGTTTCAAACTTATTTGATTTCTAATAATGTTATTAGTTTAGAATTGAACTCTTTAATGTTTTTTAAGTCAAATGGCTAGGAACATTAGTTTATGACCGCTTCAAATATATTTTATTCATAAGCTGTTGTATAAAATTTTTAAGGGTTAATGAGAATTTAATTAAAAGAGTTTAAAAATAATCTCTTTTGATGAAATCTATTCCACTTTTATCTATTGCACTTTTTAATGAGCAATTTTCGTTCGTATTATGCACTCACTGTGTCAAAAATGTCTTATTAATTTCTTGACTGCACAATTGAAATTTGCAGAACCATCGCGTCGAAATGATCAATCCGAAATACCTGTATGTGTACTACCTTATTGTGGTTTTCCTTTATTATTTATTTAGTGAATTGTTAATTATATCTCAAAATATGGTCGCAATATTTTGAAACATAAATATTGTCAGTTAATATGTATATATAATCTATATATTATATAGATATATATAAATATATGGTTTTGGTCGTGGGAAATACGAGTACCATTCGGTAATTACCGAGTACGAAAGCAGCGGAATTACTGCTGCTGTATTTTTGATTTATTCATTGTTTCCTTTTCGCTGTTGAATTTAATTATCCTTGGGAAGGTGTTTTATTAATTTATTTATCAACTTTGGGTATTTTGTGCTGGGAATTCGTTTTACTATCGTGTTTATTAACTTGGGATGAAGAATGTGAATTGCTCTTAAAGGTATAATAAACATATATGGTATATGTTTGTGTTTGCATTTAATTAATATTATTTAATATTTTTGTTTTTTTTGTTATTTGTTTACATGTGTTTACATATTATTTGGGCCAACACTGCAACCAGTCATTGACCAACGAAAAGTGCAATTTTGCGTTATCAGCTTTTCTTGTTGGTCAATGCACTGAAGAAAGTGTGTAATATGTTGGCCTATAATTATGTCAGCACAGCGTAGGCAAATTTATTTATTTGTGAATTATGCATTAATATTTATTGTCAATTAATGCATAATTTAATAGCTTGTTAATCAAATAATTTTGTATAAATATAAGAAATTATGTTAATAAAATTCAGAAGGAAAAGAAAAATCAATTATAACTTTCTTACTTTCTCGCATCGGTTAGTTTGGGTTTCAAGTGCTCAAACTAATCAAAATAGAAAATACAAGTAGTTTGGGTTACAAGTGCTCAAACTACATTACACATAAAAAATTGGCTACCAAGCTAACACAGATTAAGGATCTGGGTTAGCACCAAGTAGCGTACATTTTTTGGTGAGCCCGACGTGATTGTTGATGAAATATCAGCTTTCATTTTGTTGAAATACATATCAAAGGAGTCAATTACCTACAAAAGGATACACCAAAAGGTCTACTCAGTAACCAGCTGAAGTATTTATTCATTGGAATTTTCGGACCGAAAATTCAAACATCGCCATGGATGCGTTATTAAAGAAGCAGTCAGAGCTCGGTACAGAAATTGAGCGACTGATAACCAATTTCAAAAAGGATTCTAGTACCCGCAAGCAGGATACCACATATTATGAAGATCGGCTAAATAAACTAAACACGTTGTGGGATAAGTTCGAATCTAATGATGCTGAAATCAAAGTACTGCCACAATCTGAACTTCAAAATGAGTATTTCAGTGCAGACTATTTCAAAAAAATCTCCAATCTAGTAGTCACATATGATGAAAGATTCAAGCTGGAGAAATCAAGGCTACTCCTGAAACCACAGGACGGGAAGCCAGTAATAAGCCCAAGAGGGCCAAATAATACTACATCGCTCATGCGAACCATGCAGAAGCAATCCTCATTAATGAATGCATTACGCACAAGCATAGATGAAATATATGAAGAAATAACCATAAAACATCATGCTAGTTATTATGATCTGAAGTATTCTCTGATAGAAAAATATCAGAAGGATCTGAGGGATAACAATGATGAAATATGGTCATCAGCCGACGCAGAAGACATCGTCGGATATACTTGGGATCAATATTATTCAACGGATAAAGATGCCCAAAACGCGTTAATATATTTAAAACAACACAGTCAACCAACTGAAGGATTGACATCAGAGGGGCCTGCAGCAACTCAACAAATCAGACTGCCAAAAATAGTTTTACCAACATTTGATGGAGACTATTTGAAGTGGATTGAATTTAGAGATTTGTTCCAACAATTGATCCATGATCAATCAATAAGCGCAGCCCACAAAATGTTCCATTTATCTACAAATTTGGCGGGTGAGCCGAAAGCCCTCATACGGCATCTGCCAATTTCCGAGCAAAATTATAATATAGCTTGGGATATTCTGTCAAATCGGTATGACAACAAACGACTCTTGGTGACAGCATTACTCAATAAATTGTTATCACAACCAAATATAACAATTGAATCAGCAAGCAGTCTTAAGGGCATACATGATGTTACAAAAGAATGTTATTATGGATTAGCAGCTCAAGGTATTGATGTTAAATCTTGGGACGCCATAATGGTTCACGTGATTATTAGAAAGCTAGACAAAGCTTCACATACAGCATTCGAGCAATCGTTAGAAGACAGCCGAAGAATAATTTCATTAAAAGAATTATTGCGGTTCCTAGAAGGAAGATTTCAGGCATTCGAATCAATGACGAATGGAAACCACAAACAAAGTCACAAACCACGACATCCAGCAGTAGCACTTGCAGCTACAGACTCAGGATCAAAATGTATTACTTGCAATAGTAGTCATCAATTATTTTCATGCGAAACTTTCAAACGTTAATCCATACAACAGAAGTACGATTTACTAAAACGTCATAAATTGTGCACAAACTGCATGAAACCTGGTCATATGGCATTACAATGCTCCAGCAGGGGTTGTACCATATGCCAAAGAAGACATAATACACTGTTGCATATAAATAGACACCCAGTTCAACCATCAAATCATATGTCAGTTGAAAACACTTCAAGGCCACTTGCACAAACAACTCTAATGTCGTCCATCAATCATGGTCATACCAGTTGCGTTCTTTTGGGAACAGCAAAACTTTTAGCCTCCAACTCTAATGGAAGAACAGTCGAGTGCAGAGCAGTATTGGATTCAGGTTCACAAATAAATATTGTGACTGAACGACTGGCATCCAGATTGGGGCTGCAAGTAAGCTCCAGTTCGATTTGCATCGAAGGCATAGGGATAGGTAAATTGAGTTCAAAAAGTCGTACAACACTTTCTGTGCAATCAAAAGTGACCGATTACAAAACAATACTTGAAGCATTTGTGTTGCCAAAAATTGTATCCAATCAACCATCGCAACACTTACAAATTTCAAATTGGAATCTGCCCAATAACATCCAATTAGCAGATCCTACATTCTATAAGTCTGACAAAATTGATATGTTGCTTGGAGCAGAATTTTATCATCAACTCCTAAGTCCTGGTCAAATACAACTTTCAAGGGAACTACCAATTCTACAGAACACTGTGCTCGGATGGATCGTATCTGGAAAAATCCAAAATGCTAACACAATGATTGCAACATGTGGAATAGCATCAGAAGATAGTTTAGAAAATGTAATAGAACAACTCTGGAAGGTTGAAGAAGTTGATACTCACTCAAAGGTCTTGTCAATAGCAGAACAACAATGTGAAGCTCAATTCACTCAAACTACATATCAGAATGTTACGGGACGATTCATCGTTCGTCTTCCTTTTATAAATGACAGATTCGCTTTGGGAGATTCGAAAGACATTGCTACAAATAGATTTCTAGCACTAGAGCGTAGACTTTCAAAGGATAGTCACCTCAAACGACAATACGTAGAGTTTTTAGATGAATATGAAAAATTGGGACATATGACCGAAATAGATATTGAAAGGATTATGTCACCACATTACTTTATACCACACCATTGTGTGCTTAAACCTGATAGTACCACCACCAAGTTACGTGTGGTATTTGATGCATCATCCAAGACAACTTCAGGACAATCTCTCAATGATTTACTACACATCGGACCAACTGTTCAAAGTGAATTACTGTCTATTTTATTACGATTCCGTCTTCCTCGTTATGTGTTTACAACAGACATTGAAAAGATGTACCGACAAATACTTGTACATCCAGAAGACAGACAATGTCAGCTTATCGTTTGGAGAAATGAACCAAGTCAACCTATAAAATACTTTGAACTCAACACAGTAACATATGGTACTAGATCAGCACCGTATCTAGCAACCAAATGTTTGCAAGCTTTAGGTGATGACAATATGCAAAATTATCCATTAGGTGCATCTGCTCTCAAACAAAACTTCTATGTAGATGACTGTTTACACGGGGCAGATAGTCTGAGAACATTGTTGGAAACTCAGAGTCAATTAAACAAAATACTGACAGCAAGCGGTTTTAAATTGCGAAAATGGTGCGCAAATCATCCAAGTCTACTACAAGGAATTCCACACGATGACTTAGAAGTCAATTTAGATTTAGAAAATAACGATACAACAAAAACTCTTGGGTTATCCTGGTGTCCAAAATCTGATAGTTTATGCGTCAAGGTTAAATTGGAACCTGTTTGCAGCACGACGAAGCGCAGTGCAACCTCAGATTTAGCAAGGCTATTTGATCCACTAGGACTTTTGTCACCAGTTGTGGTGATGGCAAAGATCTTTATTCAAGAATTATGGAATTTAAAGATGGATTGGGATGAAAAACTGCCGACTGAATTACATAAACAGTGGTTAGAGTTCCGGAACAATTTGACGAAAGTAAATTGTCTGCAGATATCTCGTCATATTTTCAAGGGTGAAGTTCCTGCCAACATTCAATTACACATCTTTACAGATGCATCAGAAAAGGCATATGGTGCTGCAGCGTATATGCGATCAACACTTCAGAATGGTCAAATTATTGTACGACTATTGTGCGCCAAATCTCGAGTTGCACCTTTGAAAAGGTTGACATTACCTCGTCTCGAACTTTGTGCAGCTGTAGTTGGCGCAGAACTAGCAAAAAGAATAAAGAACGATCTACAAATAAGAAATTACCAGACGTTCTTTTGGTGTGATTCACAAATAGTGATATCATGGATCAACTCTCCATCATCAAAGTTTCACACTTTCGTTGCAAACCGAGTAAGCAACATTCATCAATTAACAGCCACAAGTCAGTGGCGCCACGTCAGTTCGGAACACAATCCAGCTGACATTTTATCAAGAGGCCTTGCACCCCATAAACTACAGTCATCAAGTATGTGGTTTTATGGACCTATGTTCCTGCATGGTCGGGAAGAACTGTGGCCTTCAAAACCATCATCAGCGTTAAAATCCGAAACCCTCATTGATCCTGAAAGGAAGAAGGAAACTCCAGTATCTACATTGTCTGTTGTTGAAGGCACAGCAAATCCTGGAGAGTTCATATATTCAATAAGACACAACAACTCATTTGGAAGACTTCAACGGATATTATCGTACATTTTAAGATTCGTAAAAAGAATCAGAAGAAAACAAAATGATCATTCAAGCAATTTTTTGACTCCAGATGATCTAGATGCAGCACATCAGGTCATCATCAAAGGCATTCAATATGCAGAATTTAAAAATGAAATCAAAATTATGAAATCTGATGGAAGAATAAATAAGTCCAGTGCATTGGCATCACTGGCACCTTTTATTGATAATACAAGCATCATAAGAGTTGGTGGACGGTTGGATGCAGCCTCATTATCGTATGACGCCAAACATCCTATGTTGTTGCCTTATAACGACCCCATTGTCAAATTAATAATGGAACAAGTCCATAAGAAATACATGCACTGTGGTCCGCAGTCTCTCCTAGCTAACATGCGTCAACGATACTGGCCAATTAAGGGCAAATTGATGGCAAGGTCAGTAGTACAACATTGTGTACGTTGTACTAAAGTAAGACCACGATTTTATGAACAACTGATGGGTAATTTGCCAGCGACAAGAGTACAACCTGGGCGACCATTCCCCACCACTGGCGTGGACTTTTGCGGACCTTTTTGGATACATTACCGAATCCGAGGCAAGAAACCACACAAGGCATACATTGCTGTGTACTGTTGTTTTACAACTAAGGCAGTTCATCTCGAAGTAGTCAGCGATTTAACCACAGATGCATTCATCGGATCGCTGAAACGTTTTGTTGCTCGAAGAGGACACTGTAAAAATTTGTTTTGTGACAATGCCACAAATTTCGTCGGAGCAAGTAATCAATTACTTGAACTTGCAGACTCAATTCAAACAAGTAAGGCACAAGAGAAGATAATTAACGAATGTAATGAAAGAGGAATAACATTTAAATTTATACCTCCTCGTGCACCGCACTTCGGTGGACTGTGGGAAGCAGCAGTCAAATCAGCAAAACACTTATTGATACGAAGTACTAAGACGACTTCACTAACATATGAGGAACTAGAGACTGTGGTATTAGAAGTCGAAGCAATACTGAACTCTCGACCATTGACACCTATGTCGAGTAATCCGAATGACTTGTCAGCACTAACACCTGGTCATTTCTTAATCGGAGAACCACTCACAGCAATGGCAGATGCAAAGGCCCAATCAGGAAATATAAATCTGGTGACAAGGTGGAAATTAGTTTCTCGCCTCAAATTGGACTTTTGGGAACGTTGGAAAACCGAGTACCTCACTGAACTACAATGTCGACACAAATGGAAAGCAGCCAATCCAAATATAAAAGAAGGTACTCTTGTAATCATCAAGGAAGATAATGTTCCTACATTAAAATGGCCGCTTGGACGTATTGCAAAGGTATATAAGGGAGATGACGGTCTAGTTCGCGTGGTTGATGTTAGAATGGCATCAGGAACTCTAAGACGTCCTTTGACAAGATTAGCACCTCTGTTTCCATCCGATGAACAATCTCCTGCTTCTGATGAACAACTTTCAAAAAGTTTTACAAAAGCGAATTCGAAAACACCACACGAAGGCACAGATCAAGACGAGCCACCTAAAAAGAATTACAAAACCAGCTAATTAAGGAAAACTTGACATATCTTCCCTCTAGAGTGCGACTAAACAGTATTCATCATCATACGATAAGTTATTTGGCGTTGTTAATTTCTATAACAATAATAATAATCATTACTTGGAAAACCAAACATAACAGATGTCAGAAACACACAATAAGCGAAATTTCAACACAAGGAAATGATATGCAGAATGCAGAATTACGTCAACAAAATTTGGACTTCACTGTGACCACAACCTAGGACAAGTTGAGTTGGCACTCAACGGCGGGGAGAATGTTTGTGTTTGCATTTAATTAATATTATTTAATATTTTTGTTTTTTTTGTTATTTGTTTACATGTGTTTACATATTATTTGGGCCAACACTGCAACCAGTCATTGACCAACGAAAAGTGCAATTTTGCGTTATCAGCTTTTCTTGTTGGTCAATGCACTGAAGAAAGTGTGTAATATGTTGGCCTATAATTATGTCAGCACAGCGTAGGCAAATTTATTTATTTGTGAATTATGCATTAATATTTATTGTCAATTAATGCATAATTTAATAGCTTGTTAATCAAATAATTTTGTATAAATATAAGAAATTATGTTAATAAAATTCAGAAGGAAAAGAAAAATCAATTATAACTTTCTTACTTTCTCGCATCGGTTAGTTTGGGTTTCAAGTGCTCAAACTAATCAAAATAGAAAATACAAGTAGTTTGGGTTACAAGTGCTCAAACTACATTACACATAAAAATTGGCTACCAAGCTAACACAGATTAAGGATCTGGGTTAGCACCAAGTAGCGTACAGTATATTTATTTGAATCATATAATTAATAATGCAATATTTAATTGTAAATATTCGAATTATACGGTTGATACGGGTTTTTCATAGAATATAAAAGAATTATATATTTATTTAAAATATATGAAGTTAACTCAGTTTAAAAATTTTTTTTTTCCCTCTCTCCTCTCCTTCTACCTTTTTGATTATTGAATGGTTGGTATCAAAGAATACCTTACAAGAACGGCAACTCCATTGTGAATTAAAATTCGTTTTTTCGCACAACAACAATTTGCCGTACAGCTCTTGAAAGTGTTAGTGAAAAGTGCACTAACACCAGCTGAAATCACAGAAATTTTTCACCCTTTCATTTTTTTTTTCGATACTTCGAGTACTTTTGAGAACGGAATATTTCGAAAAGTTTACCACGAAGATATAAGAGTTATTATTACTTTTGAATATTCAGGTTTCCATTGGCATACATTTTTTTTTTAACTGATCTTCAGTGAGCTTAGCGTTTTTTTTATTATAGTTATATTCGAATTCAGATAGCTATTACTAATATTCAGTAATACGGATAGATGGATGACGCTCAATCAAGAGCGGAGGAGTTAGCGCAAGAGGTCCATGAGTTTCGAACATTCATAGCCTCCATTCAGGTACATGCGTGGCGGAAATTAGGTGCTTTACAACAGAACAGGGATTTTATACAGATACATAAGGACACCATAAAATCAAGGCGTTTGTCTCAACTAGCGGAAATAACATATCTGTTGGATTTAATCGAGGAAGTGGAGGATATTTAATCGGACGAGCAACGGAAAGAGCACGTACAGTTACAGGAAGCTAAAATTGGTTTGGAAGTACAGTGTACAAGGTTTAGGAAAAGGCAAGAGGAATTGACCGAACTCTTAGGAACAGCGGAGGAAGAGAACGAACGGCTTATTCAGAGTCTTAGAAATCTAGGCAAGTCGGAGGAGGAAATTTCGGAGCAGTTAACAGAGAGCGGTAAATTAGTGGAACAGGATCACGTTATTGAAACATTGAAGGTGCAATTGGAAAACACGAGGAGAGGGCTGGACACATTTAATAGACCAGCAACTACGGGCGTGGATACATTGCAACCGCCAGTAACGCAAACTGGGGTGATTCAAGAACTAGCAACAACAAATCTAACGAACTCCAATATGGCAAAAGTAACGGCGATAATGAACTCAGAGAATAACATCTGTCCGATATTCACAGGAGGAGAAGGAGCGGAGCTAGCGGCAGAGGTAGAAAGATTTGTAGAAGGATGCAAACTAGTGGAGCAAGAGTGGGGAACTGAAGTGAATGCAGATAATACACTCAACATCATCCGCTGTTTGAAGCAGCGTCTCCGTGGGCCAGCGTATTCCAAGATAGGGAGACGAGACTTTGCCACAATCACCGAGTTTTGCGAATATATCCAGCGGAGTTTTTATAAGAGAAACACTCTGGAACAATAGGGTGGCTCACGTTATAAAGGGGAAAATTAAAAATGAAGTTTTGAATGAGCACACCCCCTAGAAATATGCCATTGACCAAAAAAATGATATTCTCAAAGTTTTGGAGCAATAGGATTAAAACTCACGTTGCGCCACTCAAGCAAAGTTGGGTTTTCAGTACAGAAAACAGAAAGTTTTCAATTCAAGGTCATTTTTTATCTTTGTTACTTGTTTCAACAGTTATTAATATATACTCATTTGACAGATAATTAAAATATCTTTTTAATAAGATATTGATGAGCAAAATCGATTAAAAATTATACGCAAAACACAATTATTAGTTGAGCGACTGTGCTCTGTTTTCTATTTCATACCTTTTAGATGGCATGCACAATTACGTAATAGGTAAATGCTACGATTTAATTAATTATTTATAAAAAATTATAATTTCAAGAAAACTCTTTTTTCAGTAATTAATATATTGTGTTTATTATGTTTTATAACATAAATCTGACTATGTGAAGGATAATTTTTATAATAATGTTCGACTACTTGCAGAACATATTGTTTTTCCTCTTTATATTTTGTCAAAATCGAATTATAATCCATCATAAGCCTAATTCCTCTTTCTATACGATCATTTATCATATGAAATCTGGCACAGAATTCAAGTGCATCTCTATAATCTTGCGTCTCCATCCATGGCGAAGGATCGAAACTGATAAAACTATTAGATAGGCAAAAACGATCAAAAAAATTTGTTATCTCTTCTGTCACGAAATCAATAAGGTTCTTTAAGGAAAATAACTTCTTCTTATCTAACCAGAGATAGATAGCTGGGAGCTTGGATCTGTGACCGGTAACTTTACAGTTACTATCTACGCAGATGGCTCAAAGATGGAAGCCGGTACGAGAGCAGGTATCTTCTCGAAAGATATGCAGATAAGACAGTGCTACCGAATCCCTGCTACTTGCAGCGTCTTTCATGGCGAGATATATGCTATCGAAAAAGAGGTCAACATTAGACAACAAAGTACAATTCGTCCTTCGAATATCACGATTTTTGTAGATAGGCCGCACTGAAAGCAATTGAATCTAAATTTCAAGATAGTATTAAAATGTCGCGATTCACTGATGAGCATCAAACATCATAAGGTTTCTTTTTGTTGGACATAGTACATTTCGAATACTTGGACATAGCAATATTGAAGGGAATGAACTAGCAGATGAGATGGCCAGAAGAGGTTCTGAACTGCATACAGGAGAGGCCGACCTCTCAATACATACACCGATACGTAAACTGTTTAGGATAATAGAGGAAATCAATACAGTTCCAACAAGTGGATTTAGACGAGTTCCAACAAGTGGATTATGCGGGAGTTGTCAACATGAAGAGGAGGTAAAATCTATCAACCACTTCCTGTGTCTCTGTCCAGGACTTTAAACAAGGCTACTTTAATGTCTTGGGGATCCTTATTTTACTGGCTTGAAAGAAATAACGAAAGCAAACTTATACGATCTCCTCACCTTCATCTGGAAAATCAAATGGTTTAACAAGGATAACAAAGATTAGCAACTCCCATCTCCTGGTAAAATTTTTTGAGGGCATCCCAATGGGCAATATATGTCTCCGAGTAGAAGTGCTGACAACTGTCAGCACGTGCCTTCCGAACATAACCTTACCTAGTGTGGGTTAAAATTTTCACACATATGCTCACTATAAAAATGTATATGTATATCTCGTACAAATCATCCGAATTACATGTAAATTGATCTTAAAATAAACATTTTTAGTAAGTACATGATTTTCGCCATCCATCGAGAATCTTAGATGGCACCTGGGCACCACAGGCAACCATACCTACAACTACAAAATATGTATAGCGTAGCGATCCGAAACCTTGCATTTGTCAAGGGCGGGAACTAAACTAGGAGTGATAAATTGAATCGTTCTGTCTGCGTTATCCCAATTTTTTTGAACTGTGACTAAAGATTCAGCTTCCATTTTGAGACAAATTTCTTCATCGAATTTATTCCAAATAAAATCAATGGAATTTTTTGCAGCTCTTGCTTCGTATGCTAAAAGGATATTAACTTCAGTCATATTTCGCTTTGCTCACGAAAAAATTCTTGTTTTGACTACATTTTCAATTCTACTTAAATATCTATATAAATTATTAAGTAGAAATGTATTAGTTTTATTTTTTATTTATGTTTCTTTCGTTTCTTGTAAACATTTGCGATTGCATTGTGTATGCCATCTAAAAGGTATGAAATAGAAAACGGAGCACAGTCGCTCAACTAATTACTGTGTTTTGCGCATAATTTTTAATCGATTTTACTCATCAATATCTTATTAAAAAGATATTTTAATTATCTATCAAATGAGTATATATTAATAACTGTTAAAACAAGTAACAAAGATAAAAACTGACCTTGAATTGAAATCTTTCTGTTTTCTGTACTGAAAACCCAACTTTGCTTGAGTGGCGCAACGTCAGTTTTAATCCTATTGCTCCAAAACTTTGGGAATATCATTTTTTTGGTCAATGGCATATTCCTAGGGGGGTGCGCTCATTAAAAATCGCATTTTAGTTTTTTTGAGCCACCCTACTGGAACAAGTTCGCACGAAGATGGCCAATATAAACCAAGGGGTTGCAGAATCTGCCAGTAACTATGGCAACAGATTGGAAGGTGTGTTATCGGATGGTTTGGAGATAATACACACCAGCTGGGGAGAATCGGATAGAAAGGGTCTGTCAACAGATTT